ATACACACATCAAAAAAAGTTTGCGATCAATAGCATAAGCTCCTATAATTCTTTAAATTTAACTTTATCAAGAAAAAATCTATGTTGTATGCTTTCTTTAAATAGGAATACCCTGTTTGAAATTAAAATATAAAACTATTTTTTATTATTTATTTTAAAAAATTGAGTCATTAATCATAATGTAATAGTGATAGAAATTTCATAGAAAGAAAAAGACTGTTTAATTAAACTTAAGCAACAATTTATTATTAAAAGGTGTGAATTCAATATAAAATAACTCCTCCCCTGGCTCGAATACATGCAAAGATCCTCCTGGGCATGCTGAGGATCATGTTATCCAGCATTTCCTGGGGTAACCTATCCCATTCTTCAATAGCGGCTTCCCTGAGCTCTGGAACTGTCTGGGGACGTGGCTCACGGTTCCATACTGCTCGTTTAAGAGCATCCCACGCGTTCTCTATTGGGTTTAAGTCGGGCGAGCCGGCAGGCCAGTCTAATCGTGTGATATCGTATTCTTGAAGAGCAGCATTGACTCGTTGAGCTCGATGTGCGGGCGCATTATCATCGACCAGTACAAATTGGTGCCCATGGTTTACTCGGAATGGTCTGACGATATCATCAATAGCAACTGCTTTGTACATGTCTCCTGTCATGAAGCCCCGATACGGGATCAAAGGCGTTCTAGCTCCAATCATAATGCCACCCCAAAAGGACACCGATTTTCCGCCTTGCTGAACTGTTCCAGTGGCAGTTCTTTGTCTTTCACGATCGCCTGGTCTTCTCCAGACACGGACACGTCGGTTATCTGGATGAGTGCTGATTCGGGATTCGTCAACGAAGAGACAGTTTTGCCAAATGTTTTCGTCCTTACCTTCTTCATTTTGCCGAAGTCTAGCCCACTGCAATCTTCGTTGTTGACGTTGCCGGGAATTGAGCGGAGCTCACCAAGACCTCCGTGCTCGTAATCCAGTCTGGTGCAAGCAATTGCGAACGGTCTGCGTGCTAACTTCAAGCCCAGAGGCGGCCCTGACTTCTGCTTTTATTTTAGTGGCGTTGATTGTTGGATCACGGGCTGCCAGCAATCTAATATAGCGCTTTTGGGCAGCTGTCAAAACAGTTGGGCGACCGCTGCGGGATCGGTCAGCTAAATTCCCCATTCCGTGATACCTCTGCAACGTAGCCACGACACAGGATTGGGATATAGCAAGTCTGCGTGCTATTACTCTCGTGGTGTATCCTTCTTCCCTCAAAGTTACTATTCTAGGTCGTAAAACCTCTGATAATCCTCTTGGCATTTTTTCAATCACAACTTTCCGCGAAAAATATCTTGAATCGCTTATAATTGACTAAATCAGATTTATGAATGAGCGTAAGCTAGGACTGAAAGCCTTTTTATATGAAAAAACAATTGAACGGGGTCATTGTTTTATGTTCTAATTTATTTTTAAATAAAGAATCTAAAAAGAAGAAAAAATCATAATATAATCTACAGTAACAAAAAAGATTTCAGTTTTTCGAAGTGATCGCAAACTTTTTTTGATGTGTGTAGTTATGACCGAGAAGGTAAACTTTAGTATTACGTAACATCATTCAAAAGAGGTGTGAAATATAGGCTAGTTTCAGCACAAATTTTGCAAATAGGTATGACCAATATAAAATTTTGGTTTTTCTCTATAAAAATGTGTTTATATCAATGTATACTAACTTAATATTGTTCCATGTGCTTTTGTTTTATACATTGTGAAATGAGTGTAAATGTTTTTATTTACTTGTATTTGTGCTGAATAAACGTTTCATATATCTATTTAAATATGTGTTATTAAGAAAAGTTATGTCTAATTCGGTAATTAATTATTATCCGTCTAATTAACTTATCTTTAACATTATCGACATTAACGATATTTTAAAGCGATAATTGCTTATTCGTTATTACGCATTTATGTATTATACGCCCGTTCGTGAATAATTTTGATTAAAAATTAATACTTTAATAGCTCCTTATACACGTCATTGACGGCATCGTATATTTTGAAATAACAACATTCAATATTCGAAGTTGATAATGACTGTCACATAATGTCACAAAAGATAATCCTATTAGAGGCGAGCTTTTAGCAAAAATGTTGACGACAAAAAGTAATATATACAAGGTAAAAAAGAGCTAGCATAAGAAAACGAGTACTGAATGAATAGCTTGTATTCAGGGCGTAGTCCGTAACGAGAAGGATCTGACGTGAAGATATGTGCGCCCAGCGGAAGGACGACTTTGCATGTCCAACAGACGTTAAGATTATGTACGAGCTCGTAAAGATGTCTATTCAATTTGCCCGCTCGCTTGTAACAAAGAACCTGAATTACGGGATTATGTTTGGTCTTAATTTTATATTATACATACATATGTACCTTCATTCCCTATATTTAATTGAAGTATACTACGCGCTCGTAACCTTCTGCAACAACTATACGCCATAGCAATTTGCTGCAAGGTAAGGACTGGATATTTTTGTTTTGTCCTAAGTTGTTGTTGAGTATAACTAAGCAGAATTCACTTTTTTCTCAGTGTATAAATCGGCAATTACTGTTTTATATTTTGCTTATTACGTTTCTTAAATACAAACAGACTTGGGATTTATTATGGTAATTTTATTAAAAACACGTCTTTAACCAGAAAACAAAATGTAAAAAAATTTCACCTCCGTGTACAAATGCTCGTGTTCCTTATGTGAGAGTTGCGCAGACACACTTGGAAGGCCAAGATCGTGTGGTGCTGGTGGCGGACGCTCGGAGCGAGCCTCAGCCAGTCTCAGTGCTGACAGACGTCGATTCTCGTGACGCCACGACAAAGCTGTGAAGTTCTCAAAATAGGACCCGTCCGTATCTTGCACCCTGTCAACAAGAGGGAATATTAGCCCCTGAGTTTTTTTTATAGCACTAAAGTAATTTTGTATTCGAGCAAAACATCAGTTCGAATTTCCATAATGTCGAAGTCTATCCGGAAAAAGAAATATCAAAGGAAAATTGACCTGAATATTCCAACTTTGGGTAAAGTTAGCAAAAAATATTGCGGCGATTGCTTCGACTAAGCCCTCCCCTCAAGTTATTGGAAAAATATACGTTTAAAGTCAAAGCACACCAATTGGTATACCTACGCATGAGACAGAGTTCCTTTGGAAGTTACTAAACTTTATGAATTCCATAAAAGATAAGGCGCCACTCACATATTCTGCGAAGCTAAGAAAGACCATATGAAAAGCAATAAGATAGGATGATTTGCATGCCTGTTACAAGTCAGATTTACTATGACATATAATTATAGCATCCTTATATTGAAACAAAAATATTCAATTATTGTCCACAGAGCGTCCTTCCCAATGGAGAAACCGGGCTTAGATGTAAAGTATAATAAATGCTAACAAAGTTGTTTGTTACGCAATTCGATCGTCGTAATATGGGAATGGGAAGGAAGCGTGCGCAAATTATCGGGGTAACCCACACCTAACATAATATGTGAATGCCCTTGGAAATTTGAGAAGTGTAATTTCGTCATCTCTCATCTGACAATGAACTGATGTAATTCTCGTTTATCATGATTTAAAGTGACATTAATTTACTTAAAATATATATATATACGTAAGACCTTCAATGTGTGATAACTTCTCTGGTAAATTTCACAAGACCCTAAACGTGTGCAAGATGTTATGTAAGTATTTCAAATGTACTTTTGAATTATGAAAGGTAGTATTTATCGTTAGAATATTGTAATATGAGCCTGCAGGAATTATCTTCCCGAAGCTAACTAAACTAAGCTCCTTAATTAACATTACACGCTATTTTATTAACAGCATTAATCAATAAAAAGGGTTACAAAAGTACCAATAAGGCGATATCGGTACTACATTGTTCTATACACCAAAGATTATTAGAGTATCTGTCGGGAAACTCCACATAGAGTAGTTAGATTACAGACATAGATAGATTATAATTAGATTTCTTTATTTTTATAATGTCAATTAACGCGACGATCAAGTCGTGGGGCTTGTGATAAGCCTATCCATTACAGTTGCAGTGCCATTCAAAGCTTTCAATCGCAGATCTGAGAGGCCCTGGCGCTGCGACACTCACTCTGAGATATAAAGTTGACAAGTCTCATGTACCTGTAGCCACCAATACCCTTGCCCTTCAAAAATGGAACGTTCTCATTACTGCTTGGCGGCAGAAATAGGTAAGGTGGCAATACTTTTCTAGACGAAATCTTTCACAAGGAGTTCTACTACGACCTAAATCTTTACAAACATTTTGGGGTGTAGATATATATACGCACGCCCAAACATATTAGTAATAGTTTTTAGTCATATGAGACTTTTATTGCTTACATGTTAGCTCTTTCAACCCGGACACGTGGCGCAGTTTCCTATTCGGAAAACAACATTTCACTCTTTTGAATGGCCAAAGGCAATTCGGAATGTAGTGTCCCGCGAACACTGTAACCCTTTTCGGACATTGAGTAGGCCCGTCACGTACGTCCGTACGCAGTTAACGGTTGGTTTGTTTCACGTTTCCGAAATAAATACCATCGCGACCCATGCCGGAGGAAGCGTAAGTGGCAGCAATGCGATATACTGACTATTAAAGACCATATTGCCTGTACCCTAAGTACTTTCAGGGTTGTTTATTTATCTCTAAGTAAAATCCATTGCTGTCCCCAGTATTCACTGACGTAAACAACGCGTATTAAAACGTTTGTATGACGTTGAGTTAAATTTATTGTCTATCGAAGAATGATTCACTGCGTGTGACAAGGGCATAAAACGTTAATAGAACTGCCGAAAAATCCTGACGGGTGTGGTGTAGTTGATATAAAAACTGTAATATTTTCCCTATTTTTTCTAATATGTAGCAGTCATCAGACATAATAATGTCAAATCCTCTTCCGACATTTAGACATATCATGGTGCAAGCAAAGAAATAGTAGTATAGGACAGCATAAAGACGCACGTGTCAAATATGTATAAATAAATTTTCCGATTACAATGTATCAGTCATTTATCAGAGCTCCTTGTGAAAGAGTTCGTCCGGAGAAATACTGCCACCTTACTTATTTCTGACGTCAAGCAGTAGTGTGAGCATTAAGTACTGCGTTCGGGTTTTGAAGGGTAAGAATGCTGGTGAAATTACAGGCAAATGTCAACTAATGTCTCACGGTGTCTAGCGCAGTGGCAGTGCCTCTCAGATCTTTGTGATTTAAAACTCGGAATGGTACTGCAACTGCTATGGATAGGCGTGTCGCTTACCACTTCACTTACTTATTTAAAAAAAACACATTAATTATAACACGACTACGGTCACTTACGCCATGGTATGTACATTTTAAAAGTTCGTACAAACTCTTTCTTCTAACAACTCACCTGTTCATTATACGCAACAGTTAACTATGTAAAATAATGTAAATAAATGTATGGGTTGCTTGTCAGAAGTACATACTCAGATAGCAAAAGTTCCCCGAACAACAAGAAAGCTGACAGCTAGTTTGAATTCTTAATACAAATTAGTATTTTTAATTCTTAACTGAATTCGTTGAAGTTCTATAGAGAGTATTGAATAACAAAAGAACTCTGACCCAGGAGATTGGCTTGCTAGATAATGGTGAAGGATATTAATTTTCGAGCAATTTTCCGTAACAGGAATCCATAGGAAAAGTGGTAAATAGACAAGTGAACTGCCTCTGCACGACGGTGAGTGCGACGCGATACTGACAATGACATGCCGAAATAAAAACTTTCTGACTCAATTATTATCACCAAAATGACAAATAATGTGACATACATCAGATAGACTTCGAGTGCGGGCTATTCAAAGTACTCGGTGACGTTATCCAACACCGCAGCGACAACCCTGACGACACGTTTGAAATCATTCATTCAGTTTACTAGTTATTAGTAAATTTGACTTATATATTTTACCTCTATGTTATCACTCGCCTTTCGTGGTAATACTAAGTTACCGGGTTTAATAGAATTATGTTAATTTAGCACCAAAATATGTCATCAAGGGATTTGGAATTACACATTCATAAATACCCATTTGTTATTGCGTGAAATACGCTGGGGCAATTTAGACGTATCTGTAAATTTACCAACCAGTGCTGGCAGTAGTCGTGATAAACGACCACAATGACACTTTATTCGAGATTCCCAACTAGTTCCTCATTCCAATTATTCATATCGCGTCCGCGTTTTTTCAGTTTTCAATTTTAACATATTGCAACACAACTAAAGTTTTTCATATGTAAATCACACACGATGCATGCAACTTTTGTATACTTACACGTTTTCTGTGTTGATGACTATTTCATTATCTAGCATTTTTAATAACAAATGTTTGTCATGCAGTTTCGATTGAGTTGAACCGAAAACCAAGACTTTGTAAAGGACTTACAAGTCCCTCATACTTCGCAATGATTCGAAATAACTTCGATCACTTTTATCCTATGTATCCTGTGAAATTAGTAAAGATATATGTATACAAGAATAGGCTACACACACATGGACCCCAACAAGATTTGTACAAATAATAATTTGCAAAAAAATGTCGACTGCCCACGTTTTCATATTGAGCCAAAATTATTTTCTTTATTAATTCTTTTTCAAGAATTATGTGATCAAAATCGAAATGCATTGACCTTTGTTCCTTGTTAAGTCATATTCCAAAGCAGACGGAGAAAATTAGTCATTTCTTTTTAAGATATTGAAAGTTCAATAATTTACTGTATATTAAATTAATATACAGAGATTTTAGAGTGAATAACTCTATCTATGAATTAATTAGGAGTATAAACACTACAAATTAATAGATCTGCAATTGTCTCCAACCACTTGTCGTTCAACATACACACATAGAGATATGATTGTGTTTAGTTTTGACTTCAAATCATAGGTCGTACAAATATACGACCACAAAAGTATATTAATATATGTAACGAAAAAAGATATAAGTATCATTTATAATGTTATAATGTCCAGTAAATTGTAGACGTTTTGATTACATAAAAAAGCTCTTTACAAAATATGTTTTGGTCCTAAAATGCGCATTCATCGCAGACAATGTTGACAAATTATTTAAGCTTTGCTTTATACAAAGTTCTTTTGCTATAAAAACTGGTCGAAGTCCAGCCTGTATAGTGGGTCAATTTCTTTTTGCCAAGAAACCAACAAGCCAACAGGATTCAAAGTTGAATCCAAATTTTTAATACCTACATAATACATTCCTTTCGAAATCTTGTAAAAACAGTTGCAATAATTTTAAATTTTTCAACTTAGTATATCTTTTTCTATTCCGCTCTCTTGACATTGTAGAAGAAGATAAAGAAGAAGATAAATAAACTAAAACTAAAACTGAATAAAGATTGTGAGAGAACTGGTTATCACAATTACCTTTTTACTCTCCCTCTGAAAGTGTAACTTGTTAACAACGTCATAAAAAATTTTTCAAATCACAAATAGACCAAACCGATAACGAAAATAGATTGAATACACTGATATGATAATTGTGGAGATTATTTACATGATACACGTTATACATAGTGAGGATAAAATAAAACGACATTAAACTTGTACAGTTCCTAGAAATCACTTTTCATATGAAATGGACTATAACAATACCTGTTATTTATTATGTGATCCGATACAATTGAAAGAAGCAGTACGTATGTCGAACTAGCCTAACAAAAGCGGCTGCAACCAACGTAACGCCCACTCGGACCACACGCCCACCTCATCAAGGATTTCGATTAAAAAATATACCGTTACTCTTTTCACTCTTTTTTGTTGGAAGGTTAAATGACTAAGGCTGTATAACTTCTTTAATCTTTATGCACGTCATGCCCTGTG